ATTATGCCCATGTAACACTGCTACTCTGTGAGCTGCACTGGCTTCCATTAGGCTTCTGGATTCAGGGTGCTGGTTATCATCTTTAAAGCTCTATGTCTCCAAGGGCAGCCCCATGTAGAGTGTGCTGCAGGGGTGCAATCAGGAGTATGACTAAGGTGTGAGTGACCATGAGCAGGTCCTCCAGATCCAGACATGAGCACAACTGTTACACAAGACACAGTTGTGCAAAAGCCCCTCTGGCTACAGCTGCCACCTGCTCTTCAAGCAGGAGCTGTGAGTCCAGGAGAGACAACTAGAGTGAAAGGGAAACAGGAAAATCCATATCCACCACCCTAGTTTCACAAAGGCAAATCTGGATTCTGTGAATGTGTACGGAGAAGCAAGTCCCACACATTTCAAAGGGGATCATTCCTATGTAAATATGTACAAAAACGCAGCCAAAGGGGCACCTGTCTAAAACTTTCTCGCAGTCACTTCTCTGCTTTTTAGTACCAAACTGAAACTACAGAATCGCCCTAAAAGTAATTATGACAAAGCGTGAGAGAAAATTGTAGCAGAGCCGCAATCATGCTCATTACAAAGCTTTATTTCTTTACCCATTAATTGGTATGTGTAAAATTACTAAGGAAAGGCTCACACAGACCTTTCTATCCCCTCTGACACACCACTGTAGGCCCTGCATCAACACGTGTGGCAGTTTGAGGTATTTGTAGTTTGCAATAATTGAATGTACTACATAAAGTTATCCAATTTCTCAAAATGAATTTATGCAGAAATATGAAATGCACCAAAGGCATACAAAAAGCAAACAAATTGCATATCTTATATTTCAATATGTTTTTAAAAATAAGTACAAGCATGAATTAAATTTATATATGCCATTGAGTTTATATAAGTTTGTTGATTACAGTGGCATTTTTAGGGAAGGAAAGGTATCCCATTTGGACTACTGGAATGTGCTCTACATGGGGCTATTCCGGAAGAGCATCCGAAAGCTTCAGCTGGTCCAGAATGCGGCCGTGCGAGCAATTTTTGGGGCC